GTACACCAATATAGGAGATGAACAGATATCAGTTTCTAAAAGGGTGTTACTAATTAATAAAAAATTTGTACTAGGCCCGAAGTATTATCTGCAAAATAATATTCGTCATTTTGATATATTGATAACCAGGAGAGTTTCTCTTATAACTTTTTTTTATGGTTTACATTATTAATTGTTTCAAGTTTTTAAATAGAAATATCCCACTTTAAATTTAGATATATTAAAAACTAAACTATATTGCTCGAGAAATCGAAATTGCTCAAAATCTACAATGCCCCTAAAACTTCCTGGAGTACTAATCCTTCTGATATTGATAAATGAAAAATGAATGGGTTTACCGCAAAGTGTAACTAAAATTTTTTAAAAACTTTAATTTATTTGGTGAAGTTTCCGAATCCATTTAAGTACTAGAACGTGTTAGGTTTAATATTAAGGAATATTTAATGAATTACGAAAATTTGTGCATAAATTATCCTATCTGAATAAGTCATTTATGAGATAAAGTCAATTTCTAATCACAGTTTTTTTTGCTGGACTTGTTTTTGATACCCTATGTCTTGGAAAATATTAAAAGAGGACTACATATTCTATACAATTTCTACTACTAACAGCGAGGATCCTTTTTCGTCCACCCTTACGGAAAGTGCCTAGTCTAGGTAATGTATTTGCGAAAAGAGATGAATCGATTTAGTTGCGTCTATTTGTTTCTTTGTATCTGGTAAAAACCTTCTATGAAGCTAAGGAGATCAATATGAATGAATAGGAAAAAAATTGATGGACCATATCTACTATATACAATAGTCGTAACTACATAAAATGAAAATTCTTCCATAAAGTTAATTTTCTTTTTAATTTGAATAATTTTGAATCAATTAAAAAATACATACGTGTATATAAAACACTTGCATTAATTGGTGAATATATGATTCCTAACAAAAGTATCTGAATAGACGGAATTCAAGCTTCAATAAAACGTTTTTCTGGGTGTCTAAATTAAATCCAATTTAGAGACCCATTGAAAAAACCCATATTTTGTTGCAGTAAACCCAACTAATTGGTATCATAATTGCGTCTTTTAATAGGATTTATTAGCAATATATTTTATATATACATAAAATGATATAAAGTATATAAAGTATATTGCAACTATATAAGTCGATTCTAAGTACGGCCGGAATCACTCGTCGAGTTCAACGACCAAGTGCCGTTCGCCAGACCCAAGCAGATCCCTTAGGGCAACGATAACGATAGCAACAAGTTGTAAATCCACGATATCCCATTTTTCTATAAGGATATTTCTACTATTTCCTATTCTATAGCGAACATATTAAAATAAAATTTAACCCAAATTCGAAAAGGTAAAATTTTAATTGCCATGATAGAGAGTTTTTCTATAAAATAAAGTATATCGTGTTCACTTATCCTACTTTTCACTCTTAACTTGAGATCCACTTAGTAACAACACCTGAGAAATATAAAGATATATGTATCAATATACTCATATATCTCTCATACGACTTGTGTCTTTTTTTCTATAGTTTTTTCCAATATTTAAAATATTGTGTCATTTAATTCAAAAAAAAAAAATATTATTATACAATCACATCTATTCCTTTATAAAATAAATAATAATTTGTAAAGTTTTTATTTCGTTGTAATAATTTAAATTTATTTAGATACTCGTACTTTTTAAAACTAAATATATTGGCAATAATTTAAATTGGCTTCTCTCCCATTTGTCAACTTTGCACTAAACTTATAGATTGGCTTTTTCTTTCAGTCTTTCGGTAGGTTGCTATCACTTTTTCCTCGACTATAGGGACGAGTACTACCCAGCATACGCTCCAGTAGACTTTGTTTTGATTTACGTTTCGATGCCATCACTTCTTTACACAGTTCAAAGAAAGCATCTGCCACTTGATCAACATGGTCAGCGGCGGAAACCTCACTAAATTTACATTCGAAATCCTTTGCAAGTATCTCGCCCTCGTCACGACTCACTTGCCTCAAGTGCACCATATCCACTTTATTGGCAACAAGTTGCACTGGCGTATCTGTTTGTAGGTCCGATTTGGCGCGCCGTATGTAGTTGAACGAATTGCGGTCTGTTATGGAATAAACAAGCAGCAACCCATCGGCCCACTGCACTATTTCCGCGGCATTGGGAAGTTCGTCGTCGGCCTGTCGTCCACACGATGATGCAATCATGAAATTAAAATGCAAACATAAAGGGAAAAAGGAGAAAAGAATAAATTAGTCGCACTTTGAGCAAAATGAAACGAAAATGTTAGTTATGCAAATATGCCATGACACAGTTTTGTACGCCGACATCATACTCCATTATTTCAGTACCTACGACCCTAGCCACTTCACTTAGTCCATTTACACATCAGAATCTTTGGCATTTGTGTCATGTTGTGGTGCTCTGGTGCACCTTCTGTGGCAATTTTCAGCGCTATTGTTTTAGTTCTTGCGATGGAGTGGTTCAGCTTTTAACTATGCTAATTCACTTACTTTGGGGCATGTGTCCAATATTTCAAAGAGTACTGGTTCTCCATCAATCATAGCTTCATGCTTGTATCGATTTTCTGAAAGCATAAAAAACAATGTTAAAAATATCGGTGAGGAGGAGCGTGAGGAGAAGAAATAGTGTTGACTGTGTGAACGCACGCACTTGGGGACACTTTTCATGGCTTGACCCGAGAGCATGAAAGTGAAATTAAGGACGAAATGGTAAATTCTCCTTCATATATTCATATATTTATGGGGCAGATAATATCAAATTAAAAATATTTTTAAATTGCATTCATGTAGCTTAATTGCAGTGCAAAGCAGCGATTAAAATATGTTATTGCCTCAATCATTTTTAATAATATCACATAAATAATATCCGTTGGTGGTATTTAGGCCACTAGGACATCAATAAATTTAATAACTGTAATTTCATTCAGTTAGTAATTATTTATTTGAAGGACATTTGCATTTTAATATTTTTATTGATATTTTTTTAAATTTTAAAAGCATGATTGAATATAGTAAATTGGTATATGCATTCAATGGAAAAATATTTAGACAATATTATGTTGTTTTATTAAGTGGGTTATCACTATTCTAAAAATGATGTCCTTTATTATACTTTAACAGATAAGCAATATACAAATACGACTCTTTAGACATTTCGGGAGGTCGTTTGAGTAGCCAAGTTTATTTTCATAAAAATTTTGGTTAGTTATTTATGGATCCTGTTCTTCTATTGTTATATGCCTTATTTAGTTGTCAAAAACGAATAATTTAAGACAAGCATATATATGTACTTGGACTCATCCATGCATATATCAATACACATTATATGTAACTGTAATGATATAGACTGCTCACGTTTCTCAAGAAGATTTCTATAAGCTCCTCTTTTTATGCTGTGGAAGGTATATGAAATTAATATTAGGTCCACCTTATTCGAACTGGGATGATTATATATTCCACTGGCACATTATTTATATATAAATGATATGTAATGTTATAGACTAAGCGCTTTTCTAAAAAATATTGCTCTTTTTTTGAAGATATTCGAAGATGACATTAGGTTCATTTCAAGCGGACTAGTATGTTTATATATTTGACCGATTTTGTGCTATTCTTTATGATTTGTTAGAACCCGAAGCAATTTATGTAATTTCCTATTGCGTATATGCCAAGCAGTGACATAGCTAAGATTGTACCTAGGTTTAGGAGAGGTTCATAGTTTTAGGCTAAAAGACTTACGTTTGTTGAAAATGCCACTGTTCGATTTTAATTTAGTATCTAAGTATTCTATCTGCATTGCCTACCCTAGGCAGAATTTATTATTGTGTAATGTTTATTGAAACAGGTGAGTAGACGATCTAGGTCTACTAGTAAATGTGACTTTTATGAACTGGGTTTTAGTAAGTTTGACTCGCTAGATTTTCAGATCTAAAGCTTTATTATCAAGAAGTGTTTGTGGTTTTGTTAATGTGCTGTTCAGATTACTATATATGTGTTCTTCAAGTTAACCCATTATCCATCTATTGAAGAATGAAAGATACGGCTATTTATCACTCTAAAAGTGATATTATCAAGACGCATCTATTGTTTCACAGATATTCTGTTCAGACTACTATACATGCCCACTTCAAATTTAGCTGTTATTTATTCATTGAAGAGTGGAAGATCTGCTGTATATAAGAGTTACAGCATTAGTTCTATTATGCTATCTTAAAGTATAATAGTTTCTATGTGATTGACTTGTGTAAACTCATTTCCATATATAGTTCATAAGTGCGTTAAGCAAAGATATTTGGATTTTTTGTTATAATATTTATTCAAATCAATTTAATTTGTATATTATACCACTTAATTTATTATATATATATTTGGAAACAATACTTTACATCAAATACAGTCAAAAAGTTTAACATTATAGGAAAAGGTTTCGTCCACTGAAGTAAGTATCTGGGTTTTATAAGTATGGATATGTTGTACTTCAGGTTATATAGTAATTATGCGATATATTGATCGATAGTTTAAAGAAAGGTTAATGCCCTATCGATAGGTGCTATATTTTATCGATGGTTTATTGACTTAATCGTGTAATTAGAATACCTCAATTAGAATACATATTATGTATTGATGTTAGTATCATGTTACATAAAACATAGTCTGGGTAATTGCGTGTATAGCCGATCTATTGGTATTATATGATATGTCTAGATTATTTAAGAATAATAACTTCTAATAACTCCATTTTGCTTTCATTGAAAATGATTGAAATGATGAAAAGTTCTAAAACGCCATTAATGATTCCATTGAACGAGATCAGATATGAAGAGTTGATCCAAGATTTATTGTTATATTTATAAATTATTTTAATTTCTCCAGGTTAGCTGAAAAGACTTTCTGCAGTAATAGACCGATAGATTTTAATGGTGACACTGCACAATTATTTCTTCTGGTATTAAAATTAGTACCAATAATAGACAAGGATGACTTTAATTTTATAATATATATTACTTTTCCTGTTCTTTCTGAAGTTTTTTCTATTCTTTTATTGGAAAATCTTCTGTTTAAGTCAATTAGGTGTGCAGGTGACATTAATGGAACACTGCTTGCTCTATCAAATAATTTGGGGGTGGGCAGTGGGTGCAATAATCGCTTGAACTTAGCATAGTTAATTGCTTTATTTAGTTCAAGGTAATGCCAATACGTACCTGTCTGATGATCGTATTCGCCGATATAGCGTTTTGTAATGAAACGCACAATTAAAGCTGCAAATAAAAAGAAAACATAGAGTAATTAATTAACTAAAACAACACGACATGTTTGTAAAATATTAGTTGAGCTCACATATCCTGGTTTCACAATGTAGACCAAGTAAACAAGTAAACAAGTATACATCATACTCTATGTCTTACACCCCCAAAATAAATAAAAATTATTTTGTGAAATAAAAAAATAAGTACGAAAAATTCAGGTCAACACTAAATGAGCGTGAAAATTGTTTAAAAAATCACAAAATTGTTTGCATTAACGGTTGACTTCTAGTCAAAAAAAAAAAAAAGAAATATATATATAATAAAATACGAGTAACACAGGCAGGAAACAAGGTATTTGAAAGGCGCATATGAGTACACCTTTTGTGGTAGGCGAGGTTAATAAACTCGGAAAGGAAGTCGAAAGCAATGAAAGTGGAGCAAAGTGCACCTTAAAATAGCGTGTTTGAACGAAAAATAGATACTCATATGAAAGGAAACTTGCTTGGGAAATACTTACTGCATGAAAACTGCTGGACTATGAAATTTGGGGTTGCAAGTCGTCAAGCATTGAGGAAACTTTGACTTCAAATGGAACTACAGAAACGGAAAATCATTTCATGTCTTCAGCACATATGCAGTATGTGTATAAAGCAGGAGGCAGAGACAGAGACAGAGAGCCACGGGCATAGAAAAAACTTTATGCAAATGAGGTACATGGAAACACACACTTCCAGCAGTGACAGCGGCTCAGGCTCGTCCACCTGATTTGTTTTGGTTACACAAATATTAAATGGAATATGAAATTTCCCAGTGCTCATGTTTGTACTAATTTGGGTAAATAAGACTTCAACTACAATTTTTATAGTTTGCATAAATTACGAGTTCGGCTAATTGAAAAGAGAGCAACGTGACATGAAAGAAATGCAGGGAAAAAGCAACGGCTGTATGCATTAATTTTGATTAGAAAAATATTTGATATTCCATATACGAGGACTTTGTAAAGTTTACGCCAATTTGCATACTTTGAAAACAATTTCATTTTGGAATTTATGCAAAATCATTTTTATCAGATGCGAATATTCCAGGGAAAGCCGTAACATTTTTTTAATATTTAAGGTTTTTTTAAATGCGGAAACCAGGCATATCAAAATTGATTCAAACCTGAAAGTATATTCAACTTAGAATTCAAAATTAGTCTCCATATTAGGAAAATACGCTACGAAAGACCCAATTAACATACTATTTAAGAAAAAAAGCAGCTTAATGCTTGGGTTACAAATAATATTAGAACATATATAAAATCATCGGTATCATCTATATTTTTTTGTGCGGCGAGAAGGAAAGGAATACCTATGCACTGACCACGATTTGTCGTCTCCATATCCGCAACCCCTTTAACTCATTCCTAGTCACCTTGTTTTACCTTGAGACTACGTTAGTATTACTTCGAGGTAGGGTCCCTATTAGTCAGTTAAGACTTCTATCGGTATGACCTGAACCATTGGTATAGTTAGTCACAGTAGAAACTAAAATGAAACCAGTCTTGTTTTTAATAGAAACCTGTGAAATATTTTGAGAACATAGTGGCTCCAGTCTATAAGAATCAAATAGCTAACATATATTGAGTACTATATAAACCATACAGTGACAATGACGTAGTATTGACTACTGCTGTTAAATTTGGTTTTACGAAGTATTCCAGAGAATTCGATTAATCTCATATACAAAATTTGGTTAGGTTTATAATAAAAAATTTATAAGTTTTATAAAATCGTGACAACCCCTAATATATATAGGCTCATTCATATTATTTGGTTAATTGACTTTAAGCAGTTGCGTTGTCCTGTTTATATCATGGGAATGAAAACAGGTGCTATTCAGAAAAGTTGTTTGAAGTGATCTTTGAAAAAAGAAGATATAGTGAAAGACCGTGTCAATGGTGGAGTGATTAAGTTAGAGGAGCACTGATTGCAGTTTTATATAAGACTGTAACAGGTATTTGCAGTAGTTGCGTCTGGGAAGTATTGTGACAGGTAGAAACCTGGAAACGGACTGTTATGTCCAATAAAGAAAAGAAAAATTACTAATTGGATGTGCACTCATTTCAGTGTGACTTCGAACCAACTAGTTGCTATTAGTTGCGATATTTTCAAAGAATAACTTTAATATTGAATATTTCATACGATAATTTAAATGGAATATTTCAGGGTGCAGTATCAGTATCAGTATTTTTCGAGTATTTCAACTAAGATTTACTTTCGACTGTATGGAAATCTCAAAATAATTAAGGTTCGGGGAGGCATGTCGACAGACGACAGTTGTTCTTTGAGAATTCAACGTTATTAAAAATCTGCTTGTAGGGTGATTTGCATTTCTCGCGATAGATACATGAGAGGGTGTAGATATTGTATTTATTTAGTAATTTTCCATTCAAATTTTTTATGTTAATTTTATTTGTTAATAACATTACGCGTTAATAAATTGAAATGCATTAAAACTTTGTTTTGTTCAAATTTTATTCACTCAAATTCCAAATTCCAAATTTCGTTCGCAAGTGTAAATGGTTTTACAGTATCTTTTTTATTTGCTTTGGTTGAGATAGTTGAGGTAGTTTCACCAATCCGAAATCACCCGAAATCACCCGAAATATGAAATTTTGAAATTTAATTTACTTGATAACTTTTTCCAAACTTTTTTCCATCGTAGCTTCGGTGCTTAATGGTTTCGGTTTGGGGTGTTTGTGGGCGGCTTAATGGCTTTCGCCCGTTTAATGCATTCAGAGTTGGACAAAAACATAAATAATGATTTAATCGCTTGGTTGGCTGGCGTTCTATGAGGAACTGCGTATGCGGAATGGCTTTGTGTGGAATGGTCGAGATTTATGGAGAGGTACAACTGAGGTTGCATTGCGGTCTAGTTTATTTTCCTAATGTGAATGTAGTATTTGCATGAAAAATCTTTATGTATTTTTTCTGGCTGGCAGATACACTGAGACCATTAAATGCTATTTAATAAAAATCATAAACATTTCGATGCTGCTATTTCTCTGCAGTTTTATTAAATCATTATTAAATAAAATTTGTTTACAGACGCAAAGAAAATTGTTAGCTAAAATAGATATTATCGAAAAATTCTTTTCACTTTGTTGGTTTAAAAATACTCGTACACAGTAAAAAATTTCAATACGTAAACAAAGCACTTTTCTTTTTTTTTTTATAAAAACTGAATGTATCTATTTATACTCTATACTTTGCGTATTCGTTGCTATTTTTAAAAAGAATTCAATATTATAAACAATTTAGAAATTGTGTAAAATTAATGAAAAACATTTTCGATTTCCGCACTAATTAGAGACCAGACATGAATGAAAAGTGCGCGGACACGGAAAAGCAGCTGCTAATAATTATCTGCTCTTCCAATTTGTTTTTAGTCAAATATGTCAGTCGGGCACATCCTCAGAATAAATATTCTTCATACACACAGATAAGAGGTGCTTGAAGATTCCGGTAGATTAAAAAAAGTATAAAAAAGTAATGTTGTTATTGCAAAAAAAGGTAATTAAATTAGAAAACTATAATATATATAAATCTATTTAAGAACCATATTTGTTTTTTGTATTTCTTATTGATCGGAAAACAGACTAAAACTAGAGCACTTAGTCAGTAGATCATTCCACTTACACATGAGAGCATAAAATATCGGGAAGAATTGTTATATTTTAATTTTGGCGCAATTCTATAACAATCTAATAATTGATCTATGGCCAAATTATTAACTTCTCTAAAGAAGTTAAATACTTAGATTTAACTCGACATAATTTTACACAGCAAATTTAATCGGAGTTCCAACCTTCATCCCGTATTCAAAGCAATTACAACAGCCCTCTGATTATGCAAACTAGACGATAGAAGTAATGGGGTTTCCGAATATTATGGTTGAGCGAATTATAGTCGTTGATGATTCTATCGACAAAAACGTATGAATCGCTAGTATGGTGGATAAAACTACCACTGATAACAAACTAGAAAAAATACAGAGTCTACTCTACTGCATGTTTCAAAACAATTTCCAAGACGCTACGAAACATCTTATTAGGTATACTGCCGTTGACTCTTAAAGTACAGATGGTTGTATCCATTCGCATATACGAGTGTAGTCTTTATTACAGCGGTTTACTGGACAATATAGGATTGTATACTTATCCATGTTTGCCAAATTAAAACAATGTTTAGATTTCGAGATACTAGTAGAGCACATGATCCCAAAACAAGTAACTACCCTGAAATACATTGACATTATACCGTACAGAATGAGGAAGAATAAAAGTTAACAAAATTAAGACTACTATCAACGATAATATCTAGATCGCAGATGGCTACAGAACTAAGCAGGGATTGGACTCTGAAATCTACAATCTCAAAACCACGAATATTTCTGCAACACAGGGTACTAGCAGAACAAATACTTAAAAGTTCTCTGATCCATTAAGAATTGTAGTGCAATATACATTTCATAAGTTCGGGATGCATTGGATATAGAATCACTAATTGTCCAAGGATTATAAGGAAGACAAATAAGCAGTAAGACTTTCTTTAAGATCGAATATATTTGTTTTTAGAACAAGCATTACTTTTTAAAGGTTTTAAGACTTTATATGGAAACATTTTTTTTGATTTTACTTTTTTCTTATATCGAAAATTTAAAAATTTCTTTTATAGTTCATAGTGATTTTTTCCCTCGAGCTGAGAGCATATATTCCCTAAAACAGGAATTAATTGTTAATTGTTTAATGTAAGATTTTTGTATATTGCTTGACTTTATATATTGTTTTAGCTATTTGTTCATTTTTATTTTACTTTCATTTTAATTATTTTCTGTAGATCTTTCCAAGGACCGTACTTTTGTTAATTCCAGCACAGAAAAACGAAGAGTGTATTTTAATGTGCATTTTAATCTTAGCTAGATTCTTAAGTTGAGAGAAAATCAGAGCGTTCAAGGACTTACAAAAAAGCTCCTCAATGAAATTTATGGACTTAATTTTTGGACATTTCGCTTACACATATTGAGGGAGGCCAAGGTTCATACTGAACTGTACCGCCAAATAAGATGAAGAAGAATTTGTGGACATTTCGTTTACACATATATCAAACATTAGCATTATTAGACCCCAATGTCGTGATATATATGATATATATTTTTCCATTGTTATTATATTATTTAAGATTTAAGAAATCGGTATTTTTGTCTTACCACTTTTCCCCACACTCGGTGCTCCGACAACGGCAATTTTTAATTCGGTCAAAGTGGACTTCTTGCGTCGTATGCCCCGCGTCGTCATATTATGAATTACACAAGAATATGATTAAATTTAAATGAATTAATAAATTACGAATATTTTGAATTCCTTCCACACACTCAGACAGGTTGAAATTAATAAGTTTCCACTTGATTTCAAAAATTCTGAATATATATTTTCTATTTAATTTTGAAAAATATTTAAATATTTTTCTTTAGTTTAAATTAAAGTTTTTTCTTAATTATTTCTTCTTAAAAAATTATTTTAATATTTTTGTTTAGATTTTTTTCATTTTATTTTTCCATATTTTTGCAGTTTTTAGGAGAGAAAATATATTTTGTTTTTTTTTTTTTAATTATTTGTAGTAGTATTTTGTGTGTTGTTATTTTCAATGTCAAAAAATTAACGAAATAAGTTTGAAATTACAATTGTACAATTGAATCTGAGCGATCAAGTATCTAATGTGTCTGCAGTTGTATCTACAAAGTGCGAGCATTGCCGCATATCAACTTAAAATACTTTTTTGTTTATAAAAACAAAGAAACACTTTCATCTTCATTTGCACACAAATGCCAATAAACTGAATTTTTAATTGATTTTCCGTTGGTTTGAGTTTGAATATGCAGACAAATTTATTATAAACTTTTTGTTTATATGTACTTCAATACATGCGAGTATAGGAATAGTCGCAGAATATTTGTTTAGATTTTTACGGATTAACAAAAAATGTATTTAAATTGTTTTCTTCAATTTGTGTACCGAGTTTTCTGCGCCACGAAATCTTCCATGAACGATTCGAACGGTGTACTGCTTCGCACTGAAAGCGCTCTCGAAATCTGAAGATCCACAGATCGCTACCAGTGAAAACATCTCATTAGGATTTCTGTTTCTTCTGCTTTTTCGAAACAGTCTGAAAATATTTCGAAAATATATCTTAAAAATAGCATAAACGAGTCTTTTATATTGGTTTTGAAGAATTTTCGTTTAACACTTTAGTGATTCTCGGCCACTTTGCACTATTAGGTAACAAACCATAAACAATTTGAAATAACAACTAATAGATTTATAGATGTATAGAGTACATCATTAAATTATTGGATTAAAAAATACGAAACTAACAGGAGTAAATATAAGTTTCACAAAGCAATATGCTACCCATATGCCCCGCCAGTCGTTAGTCGATTGCAACTAGTCGCTGCCTATTAATATTATTGTTATTATTATTACTATTATTATTATTATTATTAATATTATTATTACGCACGATACTCAGATACCAAATTCCATGCGCGGGATTAGGATGCGATCCCGACGCTGTGTGGTTATCCGAATTCCCTGTATTTTCTCTATTATTACCTCCAATATCTTACTAGGTCTTTATTCCTGTTAGCGCACGTAGGGTGCATTTTTAACCTTCTGCCGGGGTTTGGTTTAAAGTTTTTCTTCTCAAAGGGATTTCTTTATTTATTAAACCTTATTTATTAAAACTACTTCCTGGGACGCGTAGATGTTAATTTGTCATCCACAATCCGAAACTAGGGTCCGCGGGTTCGTTAGGCCTGTCATTACTGCACCATATTAGTCCAAGTAATGCAAATGCTGGCTTAATATTATTATTAATATTATTTTTGTGAATATTATTATTATTAATATTATTTTAGTTGAAAAAAAATGTGCTCAGTATTCGGCAGAAGGCATTTATCCTCTTTGGAGTCTTACTTTGTTAATTCTGCATCCAATAACACTAGCGTAAGACATTGTCTCCTCTATTAGAGCGAAAAAGTGGTTTCCCGGTAAGTTTTTTAGAATGTTCAGTGTATTCACATACATTTTAGTATCACAATCCGGTAAGATAGTTTGGATACAATCTTAAGCAGATTGTATCTGATACACACGAATTGATGTGATATCTTTAGATGAATGGCAGTCATTACTGGATTTTGACATAAAGCTACTAGTGCTAGAAAATAGAAATCTCTTATAATATTAACTTTTTTTATGCATGCCCAAGTTGAATCACAAGTGAATCTATCAACTAGATTGTAGGATCAAGTAGATCAATTCGAGAAGCTAACAAAGGGATTATAAGTTCTTTATATATCATACAAGCTGGATTTAAAGAGCTGTCTACACAAACAAGTATTCTAATGACTAAATGGTTCCTAACTATGTAAAATGGAACGATATTCCTGTGAACGCGATAAGTAGGAGTAGCATCTTAAGCAGAGATTTAATAAATATGAATATAAGTACAGTCTTCAGATGTGTGGTTGTCATTATTCGGTTTTGATAAGTCTACAAATTTCTTCCTCTTTGGAAGCAGATATCAACCTCTGTAATAATCCTGGGAAACTAGCGAAGCAATTAAAATAGTATGTTTAACTGTATTTAATCAAACAAGCAATCATACAACTAGATGATTCCTAAAGATACCAAATGGAAAGAAATCTGTACGAAGATTTGTAGTAGGCATTAACTCGACGTATTTTTGAATGAAGATCATTATAATTTCAAAAAGTGAATGAAGTCTCATATCTGGGATATGGTGTAATTTTCTGAATCATGAAGTCCTTAAGTATCCAAGCAATTTAACTGTTTTTATTATAATGCTGAATATATACGTATATATGAATATGCCTTTGTTTTATGAACGATCAAATTGGGGTCACATACGATTGACTCATATTAATAGAAGTATTAAATCTTTATAACATAATACATAATACCGCGATGGAATTTAATGTATTTTATAATATTTAATAAATAATGTAATTATTATAGATTCTTAGGATTGGACCATAAAGGTTTAAATATCGAAAGAGTTTCCTGCTTTTCGAAATGCTCTTATTTTCTCTCATTTCTCTGAAGAAAATTTTTGTTTACTGAAAATTAAAATGAGATGAAACATAAATTTTAGTACAAATGAAAATGGAAAAGCGTCTTGGCAGATGAGCATTTTCTTGAAAAGTGCAGTGAACGTTTCGAAACATGAAAATTCTTTGGAATGAAAATTAATACGATTTCCTGATTTGTAAAATAATTAAAAACAAATTAATAAACTGCAAATAACAGAAGAATTGAATTTAACTGGAAATGTAATTTGTAGATTCTTTAGTGAAATGAGATCTTCTCCGTGTGAGCCTTATAAGCAGTTCTAGTACTAGTATGATCGTCGAATGGTAATTTGATTGTTTTGATTTTTGTAAAATATTAAGAAAATTTTTAATTATGATTTAAAAAAATAATTATAAAAATATGTATAGTATTCTACAATACATATTGTAAAATAAAAATATTGGAATCAAAAAATTTTTCGAGAAGTTGTTCGTAGAGATTATAAACATTCTTAGAATATTGATTAACAGCTTTATTCTACATGCATTATGCTACTCGTAGAGTCCATAAATTGGTCGATATACTGACAAACCAGTGTTGATATAGAAAAATATATAAAGTACGAATTAAGAGTTACGGATTATTTGAAGAATGACAACGTCTTCTATTCACATAATGGACTCAGATTTAATCTGGATATGTAAACTTCGTTAGGTGGAGTAAATGATATTATCATTATTAATAATAAATGTTGATTAGAATCAGTGATATTATATATCTGCCTATACCTTTTCTTGAAGTCAGGTATTTTCAAATTTATTATGGCATATTTTTCTACAAATTATGACATATAAACATAATTTTAATGGAACTGACTACACCACAAGGTATAGACAGATATATAATATTATTGATTCTGATCAACAGTTGTTATTAACTTATCACATTTGCAAAACTATGAAGTATAAGAAAATTAAGCTGCTGTATTCATTCTTAAACTGCAGACTCTTCTCTTCTTCTTCTTCTTCTCTCTTCATTGGTGTTACAAATAAAGGCTTGACATTTCTCACAACACACCGCCCATTCTTATAGTTTCTTGGAACTGTTTCTCAGTTCTTGGCTCTATGTCGTTTAAAATCAGTTCCCTTTCCAAAACCCATTGGAATTGAAGACTCTCCCTTGAACTTTTTCTACCTAAATTTTCAAATCAGATTTCTGATGTGTCTGATTATCTAATCTTATTCTCTGAGACCATATTTGACATCCCAAGTCCACAACTTGTAATCAAATCAAAAGAGCAACATTTATAATAATTTGATGTCGTTCTGTATCAACTGTTAAGGGGGCAGCAAGCATCGTGACGAACCTTTGTTTCGCTCTGTTTTATGGTCTTAGTTTTTTCGGATCCATAGATCAGTATCTAATATGTACTTTTGTTTTATCCTTATATACTTAGTTTGGTACTCAATTATCCAGGTTAAACTTTTTATATCAAATAGTTAAAATTATTCTTTCGATGTTTACTACTCAATCGTATCCAGTGTCAAATCTTCATATCCAGCAGTCATTATCTGAATACATTATTTTTGCTGTCACTTCATTGGTGTTGAAAAAGTTTCTTAACTATATATTAGGGATATTTAATAGAAAATAAACTTTCTCATTGGTTAGTACTTCATTTCATCTGACATTTACTTCCCAAATGTTAATTGAAATATTTTTTTAAAATGCAATTTTAATTTGATTATATATTCTTGCAGATTATTAGTTATATATTATTCATAGCATACGTATGTATCTTATTTAGGTATACCATTGAGAAAATATTGATCTACCAAATTTTATTTAAAATCAAAACTAGAGAAGTATACTTGCCTATTGAATAAATTCTTTTGTTATTAATGTTTTTAAATTATTTTATACATAATTAAAAAACGAAATAATACAATAATAAATGTATGTATAATTTTTAACTAAAACCATTCGCAACTCTTCAATTGAATTGAAATTGTAATCTTTTTAATTTATGTTAATCAAAAATTTGTTTTGAAACAGTTTCCATTTCGAAATAAGAAACAATCTTCGTGGATATCAAAGAGGAACCCATGCTGGGCCGTGGTGTCTTAATCATGTGTGAAAAGCCAACTGCTGGGAACCATTTACAAAATTGGCTGCTCGCCTAATTGGTTAAGTAGAAACGAAGACTGGTCACTCAGGGCAAAGTGCTGTAAAATAGTGTAAATAGTTTAAATATAATAGACTCGATGTGTTTACTTTGTAATCCATTTATCTATTGAAGCAGAAATGTAAACTATTTGAGAGAGGAGAAAAAGAAAA